GATTCACCTCTGTTTGATCTTGATCTCTCAAGATAAACTATGAAAAGATATTAAAACTAACCTAAACTAATGTTTTCCACCCCTAAAAAAGTCCTACATAGCCTCTATTTATAGTTTCTTAAAGTAGTATCCGAAACGGGATAGGATTGGGTTTATTGGAGCTAAAAAATGACAATTTCGTGCATTTTTCCGATGAACACTGGCCTAAATTCTGGCGCCAATGTTTTATCAGATGACTTGACCTGAAAACTCCGGCATCAATATCGATGTGCAAGTTACAAAAGATTCGCGGATGGATTGCTCCGGATCCACGCGTAGATCCATTTTAAGGACTAAAGTCTCCATTAATGTGGCCGAATCAGCTCTTGGTCAAAACATAAAAATTGTAAATCATTGAATTAGCTTTCCAATTCTGCAAGGATCATGTCATTTGAAGTTTGGATACTAAGATATGCTCAAAATACTGAGACCTAATTGTAAGAGTACCGCAGTGCAACTATACTTCAGTTATTTAGAGTTTTGACTATGAAAACGTGAGAACTAGACGTCTCATAAGATTTGTAGAGCATTCTCTTAGGTTCAAATTGAATCAAGAATAATCTAAATCTGATTTGTATAACTCATGTTATCACTAAAACATTGAAACATGTTAATCCTGCCAAACCTTATACTCTTCATGTTTTTTTTATTCCATTGCTTCTTCATGCCACGTTCAAGTCTTTTTGAAGTGAATTCCAACATCTTCTAAATGAACAAATCCGGTTACTCAACTTCCATCACTTAAGAATCACATACTCATAACGATCGTTATTTTTTACTCGAAAGTCGACACTTTTAGGTGAAAACTCCCGATTACTAGGCAACGACAACCAACGTAATACAGTTAAATTAATAAAATAAACATATAAGAACAAGCAATAACATAAAAGCTTGCTTCATATCTTAATAATATAGAGAACTAACATTAATAATTAGGCCAAATTCACAAAAAAATGCTAGAAAAATATTTACAATATCTAGAAAAATTAGCCAAAAATTGAAAAAATCTCAAAATACCAAATATTCACTGAAGAAGTACTATAAAGCAACACCATTTAACATTTAACACACTCGTACACATAACACTTTAATAACAATAATACTTGGAATATAAGCCATTGTATATCAAAGAATAGACAAAAAATTTGAAAATTTTAACCAAAAATTTCACTTCACTCTTTTACTGCTCCCCTACACTTAAGACAACATTGTTCTTAATGTTGGGGATAAAATAAAAAAATAATAACAAGTAAAGAGATGAAAGTGAAACTCGACTAATAACAAATGGATTTCAATGATCAAGCAGAGTGGAAGGGAAGTTGCTAGTTACTATCCAAAAGGTGGCTTAAGAACTCATCCTATCAACCTAAAAGAACGAGTGAATACTATAAATAGGGGTTAAACAAACTATCAAATAACTCAAAGTAGAAAACAATAAAATTCTAAGGATATAAACACTACCATTAATCCCAAACAAAAGAAAAAATATTAAATAAAATTAGAAAGAAATTGGGTTGCCTCTCAAGAAGCGCTAAGTTTTATGTCTTCAATCGAACAAGGCTGATAAGCTCAAGAAGGATGAAATGGTTCATATATTTGCACATCCTCTAATTTATGTGCCCACACTACTGCATAATTTTTCACATCAACATTACGTTTCCAGACCACTAAAGAAGAATATGAGCGATAATCATGCAAAGACATACATCCTATATCCTGCTCTAAGACATTTTTTTTACCATACAACTCATTAGTAGCAGTAATATAAGAACAAGAATCCTCATATGAAAGGTACTTTAAGGGTTCAAAAACATTAAATTCTTCTTTTTCTTTGCCAACCCTTAAAGTTAATTTACTTTTAAATAAATCTATGTTAGCTCCCCCCTAGTTAAGAACCTTCTACCAAGGATAATAGGTATATAAATATCTTCTTCCATATCAAGAACAATAAAATCAGCAAAAAATAAAATTTACCAATTTTTACCAATAGATCTTCTACAGTATCCATTGGATAACTCACTAAACGATCAGCCAATTGTAGAATCACTTGAATAGGCACTAGGTTGGCACACTTTAATTTCCCAAAAAATTGATAAAGGCATCAAATTTACACTAGATCCATGGTCACATAACACTTCCCAACAAGAATATGTTCAAATTGACAAGGCAAAGTAAAACTCCCTGGATCTTTTATCTTAATTAGAAGACGATTTTGGAGCATTGCACTGCATTCCTCAATAAGGATACCTCTACAAAGTCTTTCAACTTCTGTTTATTAGACACTATCTCCTTTAAGAACTTTGCATAAGCAAGGATATTTGCCAAAACTTTGAAAAAAGGCATATTGATTTGTAACTTCCTAAGCATATCCACAAACTTCTGATATAGTGCATTAGTTGCCTTTGTGACGCTCCCACTTCTCCCTAAGTCGAACCAAAGGGTATCCGCGGGACGCCTACCCAACTCTCGCCAGGATTCAAGTAATTCCATTCAAGCTTATTATCAGTCTACACAACCCAAGTAAATAACTTAAATATAGTAAATGCGGAAGCGTTCAAGTTTAACAATAGTTATCCATTATCCAACCCGCACGTCGGGTGTTCAAAGTACATCATAAATCCCAAATATATACCACGCCCCAAAAGTTACATTTCAATTCCAAAAGTACAACCCAAAACTAAGGGCATATCCAAAAATAATAGAAATCCTAAACAAAAGTACATCAGGAGGGTTTCTCCAATACATCTCCGAGTTCAATCCTGTTAAGGAAAACAAATCTACAGGGTGAGCAAAACGCTCGTGAGGCCAAGAATACACATGCAAGCACGTAGTCCAGATAACAGTCCCAAATAACAATTTAAGAGATAATTACAAGTAATTAATAAAGCCAGTGAAAGTAAATAGAAACAATTCAAGGGTATAGTTGCTCTCAGGAGCTAAGTTCCACTTGCTGTGTTGATGACATTCGTATACCTCCCCGCGATAACACTCTGTCAACCGGGTCGGATTTCCAATCCGTAGAACTCCACTAACTTCCCATCCGTCCACCGTACACCGCTCTGGGCCCACACAACATTTATAAGGCGATACTCCACGAGTATGCCAAGCAAGATCTCTCAATAGATCAAGCTTATCATGTGAATCTCATGGCTCACCGAGGTTCCCGACCAAGCCCATGCTGGCTCGAGTTCCAAGGTCGGCCTATAAATTTGGGCGTCCCCCATGTACATGTAAATGTCGAGGAGATTCACTCCAACGACGTATGCACTCATAGCATACCAAGTCATGTATACAAGTATTTGACAGGTCCAAGCATGTAATTCAGGATAGGTAAGTCTAGCAAGCCAAGCCAAGCATGAATCAATTATTTCAAATGAGTACGAGTGCGATAAAGTACACACTCGACTTCATTTTATCAAAATCAGGTAGATTAAACAGGACAAGCATGTATCAAGTTCACAGGAGTTCAAGTAAACATGCACTTAACACTCACCAAATAGTAAGTAGTCTCAACCGAAATTTAAACGTTCACCGTGGGATCCTCTTGAGGGTTCTCGTGTGCGCCTGAGCAAATAATAGTGAAGTATCACTCATATATCCCAATTATCAAGAAAGATTGTACACTAGTATAATCTAAGGAAATTTCATGAAAACGAACATCAATTACTCGTAAATCGAGATTTAAATGGAGTTTCTTAAAGTACATGGGTAATCGAGTTTAAGTTCCTTTGAAAATCGAGATTGGGTTTCTTTTTTTTTTTTGATCGAAACCCGAACGAGTTATAAGACTCGAGTAAAAAAAAATGGATTTACTATCCTTAAAATCATTGGATGGAAACAAGTGCGTGCGAATAATTCTCAAAACGAACGACCGAAGTCGAAAGTGGACTGGCCACGTCACAATCCAGCCGGATATCCGGCCGGCTTCTTGGCCGGATTGGAGGCAATAGCCATCCTCAATTTTTTCAAATCCCAACAGCAATCCGGCCGACTATCTGGCCAAAAACTGGCCGGATTCAAGGCCGGATTCCAGCAAAATGCTTCCCATGCGGATTTCATTTCAAATGTTCAGAATTTTTGATTTTTTGTACAATTTTTGAAAAATCATAACTCACTCTTGGATTGTCAAAAATTGGTAAATTTGTTACCGTTGGAAACGTCTTTTAATGTATTAAAAGTTTCTCGAATACACTTTTCTAAGATTTCAAATGGAAAGCATTCAAAAATGAGCTCAAAGTCACTGTTTTGGTTCATAAGGTAGATTCAAGTTGGTTTTTTTGGCCAAATTTGAAAATTCAGAAAAATTCACTTGATTAGAACTAGCCTTTGAAATTTGCAACTGTATTAGTGTTGTAATCCAAGTTTACAACAAACCAAGCGGACCAAGAAACGGAGTTGTGAGCACCAAGATATGGTAGTTCAAAGTTACCCAAATTTCCTTGTTAAACAAGGGTTTTCCAATATCAAGTCTTGAACTTTGGTAATTTAGTCGAGCAGCAAAATGGACTCGGATTGGTACCAAGTATAATACTCCTATATAAAGGGTGTCCCTCTATCTAACTTCATGGCAAAATACCTTCGGAAAGGTAGTCAACCAAACAACCAAAGTTTCGAAAAATCCCAAGGCAGAACTGCCTTAAGCTTTTTGTTTTTCATTCCAAATATTTGGTCAAGGAAAATCCTTCAAACATGGTTAATTTGTGTAGGAAAAACCTGAGGAACATTCATGGTACATTTGGTAAGTGTTTATTTCCAAGAAATTCAATTGATAGGTTCACACCAAGTCAAATATAAAATCTGCCCAGAATTTAGGGTTTTCATGAACAGAGCAGGTTTCGTATTTTGATTACAAATCACTCAATTTAACTCAGAATTACGCATGGTTGGTGGCGTTGGAAAATAAATTCATAAAAATATAATTTCACAGAAGAAATTGTTTTGAAATTCACCATAAAACTAGCTCAAATTCGAGCCTCAAGTTGCAGCCTCTGTACTTCGTTCTAGGAAAACAGAGAAACAGGACAGTCACTTTTAAATGGTTGGTACTGGCTGCTCAGATGGAATATGGGTTGCGTTTTATACCGTTGGAAAGCTGGGAATGTCTAGTTTCAAATGCCACTGACGGCACTCAATTTTGACGTCGGAGTACAGAGTTATGGATGAAACAAGCAAGCTGTCTGAGCATTACGGGAACAATTTTCCAGATTTACTAGTTTCACGAAATTAATCCATTTGACCAACCAAACCTCAATATTTTTCAATGAAATTTTATACACCATCTATACAACATATAAACATCATATACCAGCCATTAAATCCCCAAAATTCCACAGAAATAGGTACGTTCAAAGCAGGGGCAGAATCGAAACTTTTTAGCCATGCATTCCTTGAGGTTGATACTAACTATGCACCACTAATCTACCAATTTAAGCACCAAACTAACATTATATCTATCATCAAGCATCACATCAGCCATCAATCCAAGAGTGGGAGTTCATAGAACCCACCTTCCAAATTTTCGAACAATAACAAACCACCCACATGAATACAAGAGCTTAAAGGTGTACTAGAACTTTCATAAATTAAAACTAGAAGGTTTGATCATTACTTATTTTAGTTGATGTCCAAGGCAGTGATTTTCGGTCCTTTTTGCTCCAGAAAAACCATGAATGTTAGCTCCTTTTTACAGCTTAATAAGGTCTCCAAGTGTAGAGTAAAGTGTGGGTGAAATTTGGTGTGAGTTGGATGAAGATTGGTGAAGTTCTGTGAAGAAAATTTGAAGAACAATAGTGTTCTTTTCCCTTGAGTTGGCCGGCCAAAGAGAGGTGAGAAGAGAGAGTATTTTGATCAAATTTAGCTTCCTAAGGAAGATTCATTTGTGTGGCCTATATTTGTGCAAAAGTCAACTCTCCTCCACGCGCATACGCGCACGTTTTGTGCTCGATTCCTCTCGAGTTTATTTCACTAGTGCACTAAACTTCTGATGTGAAACCCCGATCTAGACAACCAAAACACCATGGCTTAGGTAGCGAAAATTTGACCAAACTAATCCCTGGAAGTCACGAACAATTTTGATATTATCTCAACCCGTAACTACTCGAATTAATGAACCAAATTGGAGGTAGTAGAACGCCACAATCAAGGAAATACTCGATTGATAAGTTCGGGTGAATAACTTGAGAAGATTCTCAAGTATTCAAAGGAAACTCTCTTGCCAAAGAGAAAGTGAAAACTCACTAATTGGATTTAATAGCCAAAAACTGATCTGAAACAAAGAGGAAGTGGGGCTATTTATAGCCCTTACAAGCATTAACCCTAATGCAAAAGTTGACCAAACTACCCTACATACTTAAGAAAGATTTTGGGGCTTACTTACTAACAAATGGGCCGCAATTAAACTAGCTTAATTACCTAGACTTTCTAAAGCAAGAAATAACCAAAATCAACGAGGAAAATCAAATAAACCTACTAAACTCAAGCATTCGTGCAATCAACTAGTTTTCACTTGAATCTTCCAATTCCCCATGTGCTTAAATGAGCCTTGGTCTTTATATTCTCATCATTCCCCTCCTCTTAAAGGTTATTTGTCCCCAAATCATGACTCTCTTACAAAACAAAAGTGATGAGAGCATGTGTATAGTCACCAAGCAGCCTGCATGTCGCCGTCTTAAGCGAAGAATGATCATGACATCCTTGTGTGGAACAAGGACAACTCGTGGTGGTGGTAGATACATGTTGCGGATAGCACGATTTCCATGAAAATGGTCACACAAGCGACGTCTCAACCCTATGAGTGGATCGTGAGCGGATGCCCGGTGAACCAAGGTTTGGTTGGGCTGCGAGTTGTACGCATCAAGACGTGCAAAAACTGCATCAAAGGCCAATGTAACTCGACTAGTGTTGGTTGGAATTACTTGACCAGCAAACTCTCTTCGCAGATTTCTATGGTTGCGGGTATTGCACACTGCAAGATGAAGGATATCTGACCACGAACAACCTGCACAAATGAAAACACGTTAAACACCACAAAGGTGGAACGATCCAGCTCCCAGTGCCCGATGTTGTCCTCAGGTTTAGCGAGCATGATCAATGTTCACCCTTTCTTTTCCTTGCCTTCTAATCGATCCAACTCCCATTCCCTCTGTAAAATATTTTAGTCCTCTCGAACTTGTGTAGGTGAGAGTGGAACAAGTATGACCCTTGTCCTTTTATGCATGAACGAGTATTTGTTGGAATGACCTTCATAAGTAACCTCACAATCAAATTGCCAAGGTCTTCCAAGAATAAGATGGGCAGCTTGCATAGGAACCACGTCACATACCAACTCATCCTCATATCTCCCAATGTTAAACTTCACAGAAACCTGCTTGGACACTCGCACTTTGCCGCAATCACTAAACCATTGAAGCTTATATGGTATAGGGTGATCTTAGACAGGTAGGTGTAACTTCTTGACAAATAAGGCACTGGCGACATTGGTACAACTTCCCCCGTCGATAATCAAGCTACACACTTTCCCGTTAACTAGACATCGGGTGTAGAAGATGTTGGTACGCTGCTCTTCTTCATTTGTGCGTTGAGCACTCAATGCCAACCTTGTAACAAGGCCTAGTCCAACTGGTTGGTTAGGGGCAATTATCTCTTCTTTCTCAACCAATGGTGGCATGCCTTCATACTCATCCTCCTCATCCGTTAGCACTTCACCACTTGGAAGCATGAGCATGGCCCTTCGGTTTGGGCGTTGGGACGCGATGTGGCCGAAACCTTGACACTTAAAGCACTTAGTGTCGTGGTTTCTAGGTTTAGATGCCCCTAGATCAGCCTTAAATTCGGCCCTTTGGGTCGGTTTTGAAGATGACGAACCAGGCACCCATACTCCATTCGAAATCCCACTTGCCGTGGCTGACTTTTGCTCGCTCGTGTGGGTAATCTCGCCTTTATATGGTGGAGTTCTCCAATTTCCAAATTGGACGCTGGAGCTTTGGTGGGGAATACCCCTCCTCTTGAGCCTCCTTTCCACCTTCACAGATTTGTCCAATAATTCATCCATGTCAAGATAATGTTGGAGCTCCACAACATCGGCAATTTCAGCGTGTAGTCCTCTCAAGAAACGTGCCATGGTTGCTTCTATATCCTCCCGAACATCAGCCCGTAGCATGGCCATCTCCATCTTCTTGAAGTAATCCTCAACTGTCAAACTTCCTTGGGTGAGAGTTTGCAATTTATGGTGCAAATCCCTGTGGTAATACGCTGGTATGAAGGGCTTCCTCATGATCCTTTTGAGTTCTTCCCAAGTGCGAATGAGTGGTTCTTCATTTCTCCTTTGTCTGGTGCGAATCTGATCCCACCAAACGGCTGTGTATTCAGTGAACTCAATGGTTGCCAACTTCACTTTTTGGGACTCTGAGTAGTGGTTGCAGTCAAAGAGCATCTCAATCTTCCTCTCCCATTCCAAATATGCTTCAGAGTCCGACTTCCCTGGGAAGGTAGGAATTTTGAACTTGATTCCCTTTAGTTCATCATCCCCTTGATTAGGGATGCGTTTATAATGCCGGAATCGGTTTCCATCTGCCATGTCCTCCTCATTGTTCGAATCACCTAACTCCTCCACATATGGTGGTCTCTTGGAGGCATTCTTGCCTAGGGTTGATTGCTCCACCTTATCCTCCAGTGTATCAATTCTCTGAGCCATGCGATCAATGGCGCCTGTTAATGCTTCAAGAACATGTTTCATGTCATAAGAGTCACTTGTCGCATGAGTTTGAGACATGTTTATAGAGTACCTGGTGGTTGTCGACTAGCTCTGATACCAACTTCCAATACACTTATATTCATATGAATATTATTCACTCTTAATTGTCCCAAAATAATGGTCTAAAGTCCCTCAATTAATCGCGCGCGTGAAAACGTGTATTTCAAATTTAGGCACGATAAAGTGAAACCTTCGAGAAATTCTTATAACGATTGTACCACTAACTATCACTTGAGTATTTAAACCTAAAATTACCTATTTTAGGACCATTGTACATGTCTCCAAATTTCCGAGCTTATTGTACTCCCAATTGGCTAAAGTTTTCAAACACGTTTTCACTATTTTCATTAATCGAGCTTCTAAAAATTAATTTTGATACGAGCTACTTTAAAAATATAATGAAATCATAATTCCATGTATTTAAGTCTAATAAGGTTAGAAAATAATAATTGGAGCAAATATTCAAATAAATAATTAAATAAGCAAAAATAGGAGTCGAAAAATAATAGTTTTTACGAGTCCTCACAGCCTTCTTCTTAAATCTTTGCGGGAAAGAAATAAGCAGCACGCAAGCTTTAACTTCAGGCAATTTTACTAGGGTGTTGTCATTTGTAGCATCGTCACCTAAGTTAGACCATTTTCTCTATTTTCTTCTTGAACTTCCTCATTTAACGCTTCCTCTTGTTTCTTTTCTTTGTTTTTGGATCTTTACATTGGTCCCTAATCGAAGTGTAATTGCCATTGTAGGTTCTTTGGGATTCACTTCAGTGGTGTTTGGCAATTTACCTTGCCCCCTCTCAATCATTGCCTTTGCTGGCTAGTCAACCTATTTTCTCGAGGCTCTGAACGGATGCTTGTTGAGACTGGACCATTTGATCTATCTTCTACATATATTGAAACATCATCTCTTCCATATTAGACCTCTTCTCTTGGACTAATTGAGGAGGATACTACAATTTTTGCTGTTGGTCTTAGAATCCTGGTGGCCCCATAGATTGCTCCCTCCATGATAAATTAGGGTGATTATGCCACCTTGAATTATAAGTGTTTGAGAAGGGATCATTCTTTTGTTATATCTTTTGACTTCCATACGCTCCGGCAAAATTCACATCCTCCATCATAATTGAGGATTCTCTATTATAGCAGCCCGCAGTAGAATGCCTATGCATGTTACAATCAGTACAAGGCTTTGATTGCTGAGTTTCACAAGTGAGCAACGACTGCATTTGCCATATCTTTCTACTCAATTCAGGCACTTGTGACCCCAAGCCTTTTTATGTAGACACTTCGTGAACACTTGCTCTCTTACCCCAGATTATTTTTTTGTTGAGAATTGCTAGGTAGCAATTCATAAATTTCAACTAACTCTTCTAGAATCTTGTCCCCAATGTACTCTTCTGCTATAAAATTTACCATGTTTTTGGTCGAGAATGTCAACCCATCACAAAAGAACTGCACTTGAAATGCCAAAAGATATTGGTGACGAGGGCATTAAGCAAGCAGTAGTTTGAACCTTTCCCAAATCTCATGAATAGACTCTGCCTCCATTTGAGAGAACGTGCATTTTTTGTTTCGTAAATCAATAGTCTTCTGTGGTGAGTAATATTTAGTCATGAAAATGTTGTACACATCTTCCCATGTTGCCAATGATCCCTCTGATAAATTCAATAGCCATGACTTCACTCAATCCCTAAGACAATACGGAAAGCACCTCATCCGCAATTCATCTTCTAATAGACCATTTAACAGAAAAATTTTGCACAACAAAACAAAACTCCAAAATGAAAGTAAGCGGGTCCTCATTAGCCAGATTATGAAAACCAAACAACATGTTGAAGTGCACGATCTTTAGCTCGTAGTTTCTTGCTCCTTTACTTAGCCTGATACAGTGTGGGGATGCTGCTCTGACGGGAAGCTAGATATCCCTCAAACGAAATCCAACAGGTGGAGCTACTGATGGGACAATTTGCTGGTTGTTAATATTGCTATTGTTGCCTCAATTATCTTTTGCCATTGTTTTCTCGTCTGAACTTATTGACCCTGCTAATTCTAGTGCAATGTTGATTCCAAGTGCTTGTAGGTGTTTTGCCTACCTTTGCAACAAATTTTATTTCCTGTGATATTTTATAGTTTTCTCTATCTCAAGATCGTACACCAAGTCACCTTTTTGTGATCAGGTCAAATACCAAAATCCTATGCAAGAGACTTGAAAATAAAGTCCCTTGATTTAGAGCATCACAATCTTATCCAATAAAGTTTAAACATAGTTCTCTTGATTTAGAGCATCAAAATCTCATCCAATATTTTCAACATATTTTGCCTTCAAAACTTAACTCAACCAATACACCCCAATTCTTCACCATACAATGCTCCATCAGTTATTAAAGATATCAAGTTTAGAAAATGAAAATAGTGAAAGGCAAGCACGAATGAAAAATCAAGAAAAAGGTTACATGGCTCAATGATTTAGAACTGGGGTCAAAATAATATGTTGACATATTTTCTCAAGTCAAAATGGCTAACAAAGATGGCCTTAATCACCTTCATGTATGTATGTTCTGAAACAATTTTGGGAAGACGCTAAGCAAGTTCTAGAATAACAAATTTATGAATGAAATCACACCACAAGGAAGAATAGATTGACAAAGAAACTCAATCTTTAGGTCAAAAACTCACAAGGTATTGTCCATCATACTAGGCCAACTCCCTACGAGAAACATCCATTGTATCAATTAATTCAAAATTGCAAATACATCACCACAATATTGAACCAGGCATTAACACATGATTGGCATACTATTATGACAACTTTTAATAATCCTATGACAACAAATAAAGGATAAGACACGCTTCACCAACTCCCTCCACACTTAACGTAAGTATTGTCCTCAATGATTAAGGTAAAAAAAATGGAATACTTTCTAGAGGAAATGTGAAGAAGCGTGACCATGAGAAGATGGTGGAAAGAAATACATCAATAGAAAAATCTAATATAAGATAAGAATAAAATCAAAAGACTTAAGTAACCCTACCAGATAACCAAAAATAAAGAAAAGAAATGAAAAGAAAAATTGTGACGACCCCACTTCTCCCAAGGGCGAACCCAAGGGTATCGGCGGGCCGCCTGCCTAGCTCGCGCCAGGACTCAAAACTTAAAGTTCGAAAGAGCACTGAATACAATATATACACTCCCAAAAGATATATTTACATCTCCAAAAGATATATTTACATCTCCAAAAGTCTCGAGTCACACCACTCTAATACACTATAACCACAACCAACAGAAGATAGACCCTAAGAAGGGTTCTTATACAAACCACCAAAACAACAACAAACATTCTAACTGTTCAACTATTACAAGCCAATCTAACTATACTAGTGTACGAGCCAAAAGTCCCCGCGTCGGCCCCTGCTAAGGAAAACAAAAGGAAAGGGGTAAGCTATATGCTTAGTAAGTAAACAGGGGCGAAAGCATAAATTTCACGTAACAGTTTCACAGTAAGAGTAAAGCAAAAACAGAAAAGTAACATCACATAATAAGGATATAGGTGGCTCCAAAGCCAATTCATATGCCATGCGTGATCTCCTGCCGACACTCCGTCGACCACAAATAATAGTCCGTAGAACTTCACTTGTACACCCACCGACACCTTATCACCCTTACTGGCCAGTCACCTCACAAACTTGCCCGGGCGAACGAAATCACAAACTTGAGCTTGAGTCACAAGCTCGGGTCACAAACTTGGTCACCTTCTCGGTGAACCGGATTCACAAAATTGGTTCATAACATGAACCTACAAACTTGGTGACCTCAGACTAAGTTGGACTGATTTCGACCAAGCCCTAACCGGCTCGAATAGTCCAAACAGGTCTTAGATCGGCCCACGAACTCACAAACTTCACAAAATTCACAAACTTTACTCGAAAGTCGCCCCGAGCCACAAGCTCAAGGGTTTTGGTTCCAAAAGGTTCATATACATATGTCAAGTACAATTATACATTCAAATTAGGGTTTAGGTCGAGTGCGATAAAGTACACCCTCGCCTAAGTACCATTTTTCACATATCTCAAACACATAGCAAAGAAAACACACCAAACTGGCCTGAATACTTACCCAGAAATTGAAATAGCAAAAGTACGAAGTCGGATCGAAATGAACAGCTAGTAGTGGGCCCCACCAGTTCCGTCCAGCTCACCACCGTCTGAAATAGAAGATTGTGTCACATAATATCGCAAACGACTACTATCGTGCCTAAAACAAGCAAAACGGCAAAAACGGCACGCGCGCACGTAAATATGACGAACGGAAACGGAGACGGCCGTTAGCGGAAACGGCAGATTTGACACTCGTTTCTAGTTTACTCATAAGTTGAGCTACGAACATCGGATTAAGGCGTATGAGACGCCATATCGAAGCTTAAAGGATGAACAACAACTGTTATGAAGACATCCAGAACTGAAACTGGAGGCTTTAGTCCCAAATGAACCAAACACAATCACTTACGAAATCTGACCAATGTACAAATGGTCAGTTTTGAGTGCAAACTGTTTTCTATGCTACACATGGTCAAAAGAGCTGAAAATTGGCAGTTAGATAGTTCATTCCAAATGGAACAACTTTCATGAAGGTCGGCAATCCAAATTTGGAACGAAAATTGGTCATCAGGACCAAAACAGATTTTTGGTCATTTTCACGGGCAGGCCTTGTTTGCTCGGCTATATCTCAGGTTTTATAAATCCGATTCATGAAATTCCAAGGGCGTTAGAAAGCTCTGATATAGGGCTATAAGTTTGGTGTTTTGGTCGGAAGCCCAAACAGCTTGTAACTCAGTCAAATGTGAAGCCAAAGTTCCAGCCATAAACTTTCCAAAAACGTACTAGAATCACAAACCGTATTTGACCTCAATATGCGGTATGGCACCAAATTCACTACGGTTATCGGATGGGGGTGTAAGACCCACCGTTTCGAAGCTAAGAAACAGGGCTACAACAATGTAGAAGACCACTCAATCCAGTTC